ATTGGGATGTGTATATAATTTTTCTACACATGGTCCACACGTTCGAGTATGAACCCACCAGTCAGTTTGTACACCTACTGGGCCCACTTTTTGGTTGGGCGAGCATTCTCTGGGAGTTGTTGATGTCGGTCACCCATTAGGAATAGTGACCACCACGGCAGCATTATGATAAACATAATGAACGATCTCCTGCCTAGTGGTGTACATATCCATACTATCGTGAAGGAATAGAGGTATCCCCAATGCATGAACGCACAATAATGTATGAGGTCCTAATATTTTTCCATTTTCACTATTATTTAATACAACCCCGCTAGCGTCTTCCTTCATATCATTCATGCATACGTCGGGGTTGTATTTCATGCTAGTACGTCGTTTTGCATGTCATTCACATCATATCAATCACATTTACATACATATGTCATATCCTAACGTTTCCATATTTCCAGACATAACAGTTCTCATCATGTACATATTATACCATAACATGTCGTATCACAATATATCAAATCGCTAACATATCATTTTATAACATTTACCATAGCATAACATATTATTGTATAGTTTTCCTATCGTATCACAAAATATATATATATCTTAGTTAAGATATTCGGGGTTGTATTTTTGCTTTATTTTATCCTTTTATTTTTTTAAGGGTGGTTAAAATCAATGTCCTCCCATTGGACGGATAGGGTGATCGAACCAAATTAAGGAGGTGGAAGCTCCGCATGCATTATATTGGCTGGTGTCATCTTACGGATTACATTTATTTTTCTCTAGGGTGGTCGTGGTGGACTTTTAAGCTTCTAGGAGCATCTAAACCGTTTAAATTTCATCTCTCGTTTTCAAGGCATTTGAGGTTAGCTCTTCAAACCTAACAAGTCTCTTGGTGCATAGAGGTCTAAACCTCTAATCATTGATGATCTTCGATGTAACGTCTACTGGAAAAGTATTAGCCTAGGACAATATATAGACCACCCTAGTTACAGTGCCCTAATCTTAATTAAGTTTTCTTATGCATGCTTTGTTATCACATTTCATAACATAAACTTCACCTCAGTCATAGGTTGGAGCTATTGGATTCATAGTGAGGCCTAACTTAATGCGACTTGTTCGATTTTTACTCTTCTAATCTTTCTCCTTTAATCATTTCTTACGATCTTAAGGTGCTCAGTTTACTGAAAGTGACCTTACTTAGGTCATTGTAACACCTAAGTTCGTGAAGAATTAAAAACTCATTTTTTTCTTTTAAATTCAAACTTCTGAAATTTTATTGATGGAGATTAATTTCAAGTTAAGATAAAAGTGAAAAAAGTTAAAAAAAATCTCAAAATTTGAAAACAAAATATTAAAGAATATAGTAAAAAAAAAAAAAAAAAAGAAAGAAAGAAAAGTGGTCAAAGTCACCTAAGGATAAATCAGTCATTATGACCTCTCTTGCTTGGTCAGGCTATGTAATGCATGATATAAGAAAGGATCAAGAGTCTATATTGTAGTGCTCCTAGATTAAGCAAGCTTCGTAATTAACTATTTAATTTTTAATAATAATTTTAATAATTTTATTTATAATTTAATATTATTTATGGCATGAAAAATTTAAAGTTATTCGTGTAATCTTGAATAATATGTGGTTGTCATATTGGACGATCATGTTTAATAACTTAAAGAGTCTATAGTACATAGATAAAATTGAGTGTCTTTATCTTAGTAATACTATTGATATGATCCACTCTATAATTGTTACTAATGATTTGATCAAAATCATTCAAGTAACGCTTAGTCTTACCAGAAATTAAATACTCCTTTTTATCTTTTAAATTGAACTATTTAGCATCTAAAATGCTGAATTCTGAGATGATAGAAGAAAAAAATTCTTAGAAAAAACTCGAAGAACTCAAGAAAAATATAAAATAAAATAGTGAAAATTTGAAAAATGAGTCAAAGTCAACCGTGATGGTAAATGGGACAATTTGACTCTTTTCTAATTTGGAGTCACCATTAGCCCTAATTCTATTGCCAATTGTAAGAAGCGGTGATTGGACAATTTTTTTTGCAAAATAAAATGAAAAGAATTTAAATTGAAAGAAGCTATTCAGGAAGAGATGGAACGTTTTCTACTTCAAGACCAAGTATAAAAGAAAACATGTAAAGTATAAATAAATTTTATAACTTGACTCGTACCGATCAGAATCTGACCCCACGAGAAATTGAGCAAAAGGCTGCCGAATTGGCCTAAGTTTATACATATATAGTTAAAATACACCATACTAGTTAAAACATAAAATAAGGAACGGACATACAAGATTTAAAATAAAAAGGTGTGGAGGACGGCGGGTGAGGCTTGTCTATGGCACCTGCTCCAGAGTTTGTTCCCGACCTCGACCAACTCATTGTTTACCTGAAAAACATGGAAACATGGAATTAGTACAAAGACAGGTAGCATACTTGTAGGCTCTTAATCGGGTTCTTAATATGCTAGGGTACCATAGTCTTTCTTGTCTTGTTCTAGTTCTTGTTATATCTACTTAGGCCCTTTAGTTCTTGTTCTTGACTTGTGGGTTCTTATCATGATCTATGGTGAAGACTTTGGTCCTTGGATTCTGAAATCTTTTTTTTTTTTTTGTTCTAAGGGCCTTAGTACTATAGTTCTTGGTTATTGTTCTTAGAGCTTGAATCTTGATTCAAGTTCTAGTTCTATCCTTCACTAAAAGCTTTTCAGCTCTTTATTCTTTTGGTATTCTAAGTCAATCAATTTTGATGTTGTTTTATTCTTGGTTACTTTCTAGGTTCTTATTCTATTCTTAATTTGTTTTCCAAAACACTCCCCTTAAAATTTAAAGCACTAGCCATGAACCTGACAACTCGTGTCCAAGGCTTCATATGTTCCAAGCAACACAGTCTAAACCTTCCAAGGTTTCATGCGTTCTAAACGACATAGTCTAAACCTGCATCTAGGGCTTGTCTTGCGATACGGTCTGAAAACTATGCCCAAGGTTCATGCATTCCAAGAGGCATAGTCTAAAAACCTACATCCAATGCATCATACATTCCAAGTGATGTAGTCTAATCCTACATCTAGTTCTGCCCAGTGATATAGCCGGAATACCTATGCCAAAGGTCTCGTACGTTCCAAGCAGCGTAGTCTAAGTCATGAACATGTTGTATCGTGGGGTGGTCGTAAGAGGTTCTTGATTCTTGGCTAAGGTAGTTTACTCTCTTCTTGTTCCATCGTGGCCTTAGATTACTCCCCATAATAGACCATAAAGGTCACGTGATTGGTGCATACATGAACATGACATCCTACAAATCTTAGGGTACCCATAGCATGGTGCGGGGCATCTCATCTAGGTGAGGGAAACATGAGGCCAAACATGACATCCTTCTAGTAAGACATGGTGCGGGGTATGCCATCTAGAAGAGGAAAACATGGGTCTCTAAATGCACCACGAGTTAGAGTATCACCTAGCATTCTTGAGTTTCTGTATCTGAGGACATTGGTCCCTTATCTTTGAGTGATACCTAGCATTCTTCTTACCTTGGTAGTCATGTTTGTTATTCATTCTCAATCTTGTAAGTTTCTAAGGTTCATAATTCCTTGAAGCAATAAGTTGTAACATGCACTCATAAACATAATAACAAGTATGAGTTATTCTAGAAAGTCATAGTCACAATGAATTCTTTAGAGGGTTCTAGAAGAGTCTTGAGTCTTAACGTGTTTCTTGGGTTCTAACTTGGTTTAGGTACCAAACTTGCTCTAATCAACTTGAAATCTATAACAAATCTTCATGTTCTTAAGAATAGGCCTTATAGAAAGTAGTAGGTCATTTGGAGCACGTATACACCTTGAAATATCACAAATAGTCCTAGGTGCATTTTTGTCATTTTACCTCAAAATTATTGGTTTGGTACTTAACCTATTCCAAAAGCTTTCAATACAACATCATTAAGCATCATAAACTAAGACCTACTATAGAGTTTTATAGCATTTGGAGGTTATATAAGTCATGAACCAAAGTAAATTACCTTAGGGGCATCAGGGTCTTGGTTTACTTACTTACCCTTATCCAATGAATACCAAATTTCATATATAATCTCACCATGCTATAATATGGTTAGTATTAAAATTTCATAGGCAGCAAAGTTCATTTAGTGGGTTATTTTAATGTTACCTAAATCTCAAGTAATTTGATCGGTTCATGGCCTTAACTCTCGGTTCTTTGAGTTTTTCTTTCATATATCCTTAATTCATATTTGGTTTAAGGTTCATACAAAAATCCTCCTACAAGTATTTCCTAAGAAACGTTCGAGGTGGATACTGTTGGATCGATATGACAACCCTAGAGGGGTAAATAGGGTTTCAACAATGCAATTATTAATTTTTTTTTTTTTTAATAACAATGATAGGGGTAAATAGAGGTCGCTTACTAAGTATTTTTAAATACTCAAACCACGTGTTACTATACTTTTCAGGTAAATGCAAGACGCATCTGTAAGGCTAACAATGGTATCGCAAACCGCGAGACAATGGCACATGCTTAGTATAGATTCGCATTTAATTTTAGTAGACTAGTATAGATTAATTGAATTTTCATTTAGTAGTTTCATTTTGTATGGTTTATTTCGTTTTATTTCTTTTGTATTACTTTTATTCCAAAGCATTAAGTATGCAAACTTGACTTTAGAGTTAATTTCCCATTAAATATTAATAATGGATATGTTACATTACAAGTCCACACTATACTTCAAAGTTATTAATGTAGTAATTAGGGTTCTATTGAAGGAAGAAACGTATAAGCAATAACCACCACATATTAAATAAACCATGTGTAACACACTTAAATTGACTTAATTGAGCAAGAGGAGATGTGACGACAAGCAATGGGTTGGCTTCAAATCTCATGTACTTCGACCATTTACAAAATTAATATGAGAGATGTTTGGATCACTATATATATTAGGCCACCTCTCATAAGAACCAAATCAACCAACAAACTCTTCATTCCACTTTGTCGCCCTTCACAATTTTTCATTTATTTGTCCTACGGGTAAAATGAATAGCGTTGCAAGAGTATCAAATCAAACCATTGTACGACGGTCTGGAAATTACAAGCCTCCTATTTGGAAACATGAGTACATTGAATCACTAAATAGTGAATTTAAGGTATGAATGATATAAGTCTTTAAATTCGTTGTTTATTTTATTTATTTACATTTAATGTTAAAAAGAGATAACAATTACTTGTGGATATGTACGTTGCGTTTAGGGAGAAATATATGTAGAACGCTTCAATAAACTTAAAGAAGAGGTAGATGTGATGATAAACCAAATAATAGATGATCCTCTAAAGCAACTCGAGCTGATTGATACTTTACAACGACTTGGAATCTCATATCATTTTGAGAATGAAATTAAAAATGTGTTGAAAAGAACACACCAGAAGCGCAATGAAAGTGATGTTTCGGAAAAGAATGATCTGTATGCAACATCACTTAAATTCAGACTTCTAAGACAACATGGTTTCAACGTTTCACAAGGTAATATTTTTTTGGTCACTCAATTTTATTTATTTATTTATTTAATTATTTATTTTTATTAGGAGAAATGTATCAACAACAATTGGTCACGAAATTGTTATGGTTCTTGTTCTTGTTGTTGTTATTATTATTTTATTATTATTATTATTATTATTTTATTATTATTATTATTATTATTATTATTATTATTATTATTATTATTATTATTATTATTGTAATAATAATAAGCCTAAATGGAAATGATGAGAAAATGTTAACAAATATTATTAGAAAAGTTTTAGACACATTTTAAATATATATATATATATATATGTATATATATTAATTAATTAATAATATATATTTTTTATAATTTAAATGAATTTGATTTTATTGCTATTTGTTTTTAAATTATTTCATCGATTTTAATATGGTATAATGGAATAGCAATTAAGAAGATATCAAATCTACTATGTCAATATGAAACTTAATACTTAATACTCTTATCATGTTGCGTTAGAAAATGCATATTTATTAATTTAACAACTTTTTATGTTATAATGACAGAGGTTTTTCATAATTTCAAGGATGAGACGAAGAACTTTAGCACAAGACTCTATCAGGATTTAAATGGAATGCTATCATTGTATGAAGCTTCGTTCTTATGTATAGAAAGTGAGAACATTTTAGAGGCAGCAAAACATTTTACAATAAATTATTTGGAAAAGTACATGAGATCATGCAAAGATAAATATGAAGCATCCATTATTAGACATGCGTTGGAGCTTCCCTTACATTGGCGAATAACAAGATTGGATACAAGATGGTTCATTGATATCTATGAGAGAAAAGTGGATATGAACCCTATTCTTCTAGAAATTGCTAAATTAGATTTCAATCGAGTGCAATCTATCCACCAAGAAGATCTTAAATATGTATCAAGGTATGACTATTGTAAACCTATTTAGAGCATTAAATTACATTAATACTTTTGCTAACTAAACATACAAATTAGGTGGTGGAGGAGCACTGGATTTAACGAAAAGTTGAGCTTTGCAAGAGATAGATTGATGGAAAATTTCTTTTGGTCGATGGGTATAGGATTTGAACCTGAGCTCTCATATTTTAGAAGAATGTGTACCAAAGTTGGTGCAATAATAACAACAATAGATGACATTTATGATATATATGGCACATTAGATGAACTCGAGCTCTTTACTAAAGCTATAGAGAGGTTAGCAATCATCCTTTGTTTGCTTGATGATTTTAAAGAAAACTTTTAGAAACTATTCTTTTGTTCTCTTAACTAGATGAAAGTAACCTTTAGTTCTTAAAATTTTAAAAATTAAAATATTATTAAAATATTTGATGTCTTGGAATCTTATATTTTATAACCATTTTAATTGGAAATTATATAAATATTTTGCATTATGATTTTAGGTGGAATGTTGATGCCGTAGACCTACTTCCTGACTATATGAAAATATGTTTTCTTAGTCTCCACAATTCTATAAATGAGATGGCTTTTGATGCACTAAGAGACAAAGGTATTAATGTGATCCAATATCTTAAGAAAACGGTAAGAATTTGATATGATAAACTTTTTTAAATTTTAAAATTATAATGTAATTTACTTGGTAGCAAATTAACTTTTACAGTGGGTAGATTTGTGCAAATCTTATATGTTGGAGGCTAAGTGGTATCACACCGGGTATCAACCAACTTTGGAAGAATATCTAGACAATGCATGGATTTCAATAGGAGGATCAGTTATATTAATTCATTCATATGTTTTTGTGACATCTCCAATACTCGAAGACATGAAGAGCTTGGAAGAACATATTGATATAATTCGTTGTTCTTCCTTAATTTTGCGACTTGTTGATGATCTTGGAACATCAACGGTATGTGAACAATAAATCTTGTTATCATTATTAAAAGTAAACATTTTTTATTAAATAATTAAAACCTATATATACGCGTAGATAAGCATCTTCGAATTAATGAAATTCCATATTGATTATTCAATTTAACATTTTGGAACATTTATTTATTAACATGGATGAATATTTTATTCAGGTTGAATTAGAAAGAGGTGATGTTCCAAAATCAATACAATGTTATATGAATGATACAGGGGCTTCAGAGATCAATGCTCGTGAACATATAAAGAGTTTGATTGATGAGACATGGAAAAAGTTAAATACAGTGGAGGTCGAGAATTCAATATTTCCTCATGTGTTCATCGAGATAGCTAAAAATCTTGCTAGAATGGGACAATGCATGTATCAATATGGAGATGGATATGGCACTGGGTGCCAAGAAATAAATGATGGTGTAATGTCTCTACTTATTCAACCCATTTCCATACAACCTATTTGATGACGTATCTAAAGAAGTTGATACAGACTTGTAATAAAGTACATTACTTTCTTTTAATGTACAACTCGTTCTGCCTTAGCTTTTCAAATACTAGATTTAAGTGTATTTTGTGTTCCTTCATCGTAGTGCTATAATACAACGATATCATTAAGATACACTAAAAACTAATCCACAGAGTATTCAAACTAGTCCTTCAAAAATATAATATAATGTATATTAGATAAATTAAATGAGATTGATATTTAAATATGATTTAAATGAGATACTATATCTTAATATATTATATACTTAAATATATTATTTAACAAATATTTTTCAAAAGCTCCATACAATTTCTCTAAGAATTTTATCTAAAGCTATTCTTTTCTAAATCTTTTGGGATTATCTTATAAGAGTCTCCCAAAAGTTTTGCCCACGATTAAGGAAGAGTTTTTTTTAAAGTAGATTCACTTGTTGGAAGGGTACGAACAAGTAGAATAAAGGTCCACTAGTTCTAAATTTCTTTCAAGTAAGTTCGCTTAATTTTTTCATTTTGTTTAATTCTAAGTGAAGCAAAATCGATTCTACCGCTTCCGCTGCATGAATGAAGTGTTCGTTCCTAACAACTCTATTGTTTGATACTTTCAAGGATTACAATGAGATTGCAATCAGTAATCACGATACATATAGCTAGTCGTATTGGATGAGTTTATGTTCAAGAAGAAAGTCGATTCCAAGTACTATGTTGAAATCATACATATGAACCACAACCAGATCCATTTCACTCGAGTCTTTTATAGGATTCAACTATATGTAAAGACTCTAAATTAACAACTTTCACTTTCTAGAATCCTTCTCTATCTTTAGACTCAATGTGGAGGCTTCTTGATTAGAGATGAAATTGTGAAAAGTACCCGAGTCAACTAAGACACCTTTTTTTTTTTTTTTTAGAGATTTCTTTCAAGAATGTCATTTAATACGATCTAGTTTAGTTTGTCGGCTTTTGATTTAGCCAACTTCTTTGTCACCGATATTGTTTTGGTCTTTAATGGGATACGGAGCTAACGCAACTTTGATATAACTTATCACAATCACTCTTTTAGCAACGAAACAAGAATTGTACGATAGTTGTTATAACTCAGCAAACAAGTAAACATGTAAAAATCAAACTTCACAAATAATTCTAACATAGGTTGAGCCTGAGTTACGTTTTTAGAAAATAAAAGTTTTATAAATGTATAAATATTTAACTCTCTTCTACATTATGATTTTAGGTGGAATGTTGATGTAGTGGACTAACTTCGTGACTAAATGAAAATATGTTTTCTTGGACTCCTGAGATGACTTTTGAAATGTTGAGAGGCAAATGAATTAATGTGATCCAATTCCTTAAGAAAAGAGTATGAATTTAATTATAATATACTCTTCTAACTTTTCATTGGATTAAGATCAACAAAATCAACATATAATTTAATTTTACCGTGGGTAGATTTGTGTAAAGCTTATATGTTGGAGATCAAGTGGTACACACCCATTATGAACCAACATTAGAAGAATATCTGGACAATGCGTGGATTTCAATAGGAGGGCCATTTACATTAACGCATGCATATGTTTTCACGACATCTCCAATGTTCGAGGCATGGAGAGATTGGAAGAACATGTTGATATAATTCGTTGGTCTTCCACAATTGTGTGACTTGTTAATGATCTAGCAACTTCATCCGTATGTAACAACAAGTCTTGTTATCTTCATTACAAAAAACCCCTTTTTTTATTTATACAAATAATCAAAATTTAATATTTGAGAAGGTAACTATATTCGAGTTAATAGAATTTTATAAGTTATTAAATTTAACGATGAATTAGAAAGAGGTGATATTTCGAAATCAATACAATGTTACATGAATGAAGTGAGAGCCTCAGAGAGTAAGGCTTGTGAATACATAAGGCTTTTGATTGATGAGACATGTAAGAAGTTAAATGGTTGAAGTTGAGAACTCTATCTTCCCTCAAGCGTTCATCGAGAGAGTTACGAATCTTGCTAGAATGGCTCAATATGTGTACCAATATGGAGATGGACATGACATAAGTCTCCCAGAAATAAAGGACTACAACAAGCTTTAACCACTTATATTTAAGCTATGGTAAGCTCGTTAAAAGAGTTTCTAGAAGATGTTGGAGTCCTTCCTGATTTAGCCAACTTCTTTGTCACCGATATTGTTTTGGTCTTTAATGGGACACGGAGCTAACGCAACTTTGATATCACTTATCACCATCACTCTTTTAGCAACGAAACAAGAATGGTACAATAGTTGTTTCGACCTTTTTCAATTTCTCTTTATTATCTAAGTTTAATGTGGTTTGTTTTTCTGTTATAATTGTTTTAATGATTTTGTTATGAATATATAAGTGATGATATTGTTTTGAAATGTTTGGCATAAACTCAATCTTATCATCCTTAAAGAGTCGGCACTCTATGTTTCAAAGTTATGAGCGGGATAATTAAGGTTCTCTTTAAAGGAAAAAAAGTATAAGCAACAACCAAACTATATTACTTAAACCACGTGTTGAATGACATGAGAATACAAGCTATGGGTTTGGCTTGAAATATAATGTGTCCCATCTTAATTATTTGGCCAGCAAATTATTGTTGAAACTATTTGGGGCTGGTGATAAGATGAAGAAAATAAGTGTAAAAATCAACCGATCACAAATTTAGCAATCATGTCATGCATGCAATGATAACTTTATTTTAGAAGAATAAATTGAGTCGTTACACAATGTCTCCACGATGTATACATGCATATATATATGTATATTTTTCTCTTTTTTTGTTCTTCGGGTTCTTCATCGAAATGGAATGTGTGAGTTGTGTGATCCCTTTGTCGAGATCAGACTATACGTACAGTGTTTCATAATATCATAATTAGAATATCCGTTAACACTCTTACTAAGTCCAAATTGTTTCAAAAGTCACTCTTCCAGAAGCAAATTTTCTACGTGCAGGAGGAGAGGATAACCTATGTATGGTGGACAAGCAATGGCTTGGCTTGAAATCTCAGGCATTTTGTAGGCAAAAATTTGGCAATTTTTTAAACCATTTACAAATTAGGCAAAAATTAAATATTTCAAACACCTCTACATGACGATTCCAAGAAGAAATTCATCTCCCTCCCTATTATTTAACTTTTTTTTTTATAAAAAATTAAAATAATATAAGAAATAAGATAAGACCTTAACAAATTAATTATATTAAGTAATTATGAATTAATTATATTAACTAATATATTAAGTTAAAGTTTGGATTTTGAATTTGGCAATTGTTACATTAAAGAAAATTAATATTGGAGAATAAAGCCATGTTTAGATCATCTATATCTATTAGTTACCTCTCTTAAGAATGACAGACATTAAACCAACCAAGTCTTCCTTCCACTTTGTCAATGGCTCTTTACAATTTTCTCATTCCTTCTATGATGAATCCTTCAATCAAACGGAGTCTATTTTGATCAAAACTCTTCATTTATCTGTCCTGCCGTTAAAGTAAATAGCATTGCAAGAGTATCAAATCAAACCTATGTACGACGGTTTGGAAATTACAAGTCTCCTATTTGGAAAGTTGAGTACATTCAATCATTAAACAAAACAGTGAATTTAAGGTATGAATGATGAAAATCTTTAAATGGGTTGTTTTCTTTGTTTATTTACACTTAATGTAACAATAGTTAGCAATTACTTGTGGATATGTATGCTGTGTTCAGGGAGAAATATATGTAGAACGCTTCAATGAGCTAAAGAAAGAGGTTGGTGTGCTTATGAACCAAATAAAAGACGATCCTCTAAATCAACTCGAGCTCATTGATACTTTACAACGACTTGGAATCTCATACCTTTTTAAGAATGAGATCATGGATTTATTGAAAAGAACATATGAGAAGAGCTAGAAAGTGATGATTGGAAAAAGAATAATCTGTATGCAACATCACTTGAATTTAGACTTTTAAGACAACATGGATTCAATGTTTTTGAAGGTATTAACTTTCTTCTTTACTTAATTTTTTTTATCAGAATAAAGATATCAACATTAATTATAAGTCAATATGAAAGTTAATACTCTTATCAGATTCGTCAAGACAATGCATATTTATTAATTTAAAATTTTTTGGATGAGACGAAGAATTTTAGCACAAGACTCTTGTTAGGATTTAAATGGAATGTTATTATTTTATGAAGCTTCATTCTTATGTATAGAAGGTGACAACATTTTAGAGGAAGCAAAACATTTTACAATCAACTATTTGGAAAAATATATGAGATCAGGCAAGGATGAATATGAAGCATCTATTATTAGACATTCGTTGGAGCTTCCCTTACATTGACAAATATCAAGATTGGATACAAGATGGTTATGAGAGAAAAGTGGATATGAGTCCTATTCTTCTCGAAATTGTTAAATTAGATTTCAATCGAGTACAATTTATCCACCTAGAAGATTTGAAATATGCATCAAGGTATGGATATTATAAATATATTGAGTGCATTAAAAATAATTGTTTGTGGTGAGTTTTTCTCAAAACTTTGTTTCAAGTCACCCATTACTTAAAAGTTTTCTTTTTCTTTAAAAAAATTGGATACTTTTTTATTTTTAATAAGAAAAAAGATATTTTATGCAGATAGATGGTTGTAAATTACATTTGCTAACTAAACATACCAATTAGGTGGTGGAGTAGCACTTAATTTAGCGAAAAGTTGAACTTTGCAAGAGATAGATTGACGGAAAATTTCTTTTGGTATGTGGGTGTTGGATTTGAATCTGAACTCTCATATTTTAGAGGAATGTCTGTTGGATGATGAAAGTCCCACATCGGCAAATTTAGGGAATGATCATGAGTTTATAAGTGAGGAATACTAACTCCATTGGTGTGAGGTCTTTTGGAAAGCCCAAAGCAAAGCCATGAGAGCTTATGCTCAAAGTGGACAATATCATACTATTGTGGAGAGTCGTGTTCAGATGCACTAAGAGACAAAAGAACTAAACCAACATTTTTATGCAAATCACATCGGTTATAAACCAA